ATTTGCCACCAGACTAGTACCCGAGCTGAGAGGTATGAGCTACGAGGAGAGACTACGGGAATTAAACCTCACTTCGCTGGAAGACAGAAGAGTTAGGGGGGACATGATCACCACATTCAAGATTCTGAAGGGAATTGATAGGGTAGATAAAGACAGGCTATTTAACACAAGGGGCACATGCACAAGGGGACACAGGTGGAAACTGAGTGCCCAAATGAGCCACAGAGATATTAGAAAGAACTTTTTTAGTGTCAGAGTGGTTGACAAATGGAATGCACTAGAAGTGATGTGGTGGAGGCTGACTCCATACACAGTTTGAAGTGTAGATATGATAGAGCCCAGTAGGCTCAGGAACCTGTACACCTGTTGATTGACGGTTGAGAGGCGGGACCAAAGAGCCAGAGCTCAACCCCCGCAAGCACAACTAGGTGAGTACACACACAGGTGTGTGGGGCCTGGTAGCCTGGTTAATAGCGCGCAGGACTCGTAATTCTGTGGCGCGGGTTCGATTCCCGCACGAGGCAGAAACAAATGGGCTAAGTTTCTTTCACCCTGAATGCCCCTGTTACCTAGCAGTAAACAGGTACCTGGGAATTAGTCAGCTGTCACGGGCTGCTTCCTGGTGTGTGTGTGGGGGGGGGGGTAAATAGTAGTAACAGTTGATTAATTGATAGTTGAGAGGCGGGCCGAAAGAGCAGAGCTTAACCCCTGCAAACACAACTTGTTGAATACACACACACACACACACATATGCGTGAGTGTGTGTCGATAGATCCCATCTGCTCATCATAGGGGACTTCAATCACAGAAGGATAGACTTGGAAAAGAAGGAACCACATGGAGGTGAGGAAAAGGGAGAGCTAAACTATTGGAGGTGGTGACAAAAAACTTTTTAATCCAGCATGTCAGAGAACCCACAAGAATGAGAGGAAACGATGAACCAGCGAGACTCGACCTGGTCTTCACTCTGAACGACTCAGACATAAGGGAAATCGGTCTCGAAGCCCCCGTGGGTATGAGTCATCACAGTGTACTGGTGTTTGAGTATCTGGTCGAAGAAGGGTTAAGGTACTCAAGGAAGGGACCAGAAAACAAAAGGCTGGCATTCCAGAAGGGAAACTAGGAGGAGATAAGGAAATTCCTAACAGATATAACATGGGAAACAGAGCTCAGGGGAACGACGGCCCAAGACATGATGGACTACATCACGCAGAAGTGCAAGGACGCAGCAAACAAGTTTGTCCCAGTCCAAAAGGAAAAAAATGAAATGCAGACAAGAAACCCATGGTTTAACCAGAGATATAGGCTAGCAAAGCAGCAAAGTAAAAGGGCATGGAGAAACTATAGAAATAACAGAACACTAGAGAGCAGAGAAAGATACCAGAACACCAGGAATGAATATGTCAGGGTGAGAAGAGAGGCAGAGCGACAATATGAAAATGACATAGCAAGCAAGGCAAAGACTCAACCTAAATTGCTGCATAGCCACATCAGGAGAAAAACAACAGTGAATGAACAGGTAATGAAACTGAGGATAGGGGCAGAAAGATTCACTACGAACGAAAAGGAAATGTGCGAAGAACTTAATAAGAAATTCCAGGAAGTATTCACAATAGAGCAAGGAAAAGTTCCAGAGGTAAGAGAGGGAATATCTAACTAGACATCACTAGAGGAGTTTGTGATTACTACTAGGGAGGTGAGGAAGCATCTGCTAGATTTGGACGTGACAAAGGCTATAGGCCCGGATGGAATCCCACCATGGATACTAAAGGAAGGAGCAGAAGCTCTGTGCCTACCACTCTCCATAGTGTACAACAAGTCACTGGTAACAGGTGAACTGCCTAAAATTAGGAAGACGGCCAATGTATTCCCAATATACAAGAAGGGTGATAGACAGGAGGCACTGAACTACAGGCCAGTGTCCCTAACCTGCATACCATGCAAGCTGATGGAGAAGATTGTGCGAAAAAAAAAGCTAGTGGAACATCTGGAGCGAAAGAACTTTGTAACACAGCATCAACATGGGTTCAGGGATGGCAGGTCCTGCCTCACAGGATTAATTGAATTCTACGACCAGGCAACATAAATCAGGCAAGATAGAGAGGGCTGGGTTGGTTGCATATTTTTGGATTACCAGAAAGCCTTTGACACAGTACCACACCAGAGGCTAGTGAAAAAGCTGGAGATGCAGGCTGGAGTGAAAGGGAAGGTACTCCATTGGATAAGAGAGTACCTAAGCAACAGGAGACAACGAGTCAGTGTGAGGGGTGAGGTCTCAGATTGGCGAGGCGTTACAAGTGAAGTCCCACAGGGATCAGTCCTTGAACCTATATTGTTTTTGATATATGTAAATGATCTCCCAGAAAGAATAGACTCGTTCCTCTCAATGTTTGCTGATGATGCAAAAATTATGAGGAGGATTAAGATGGAAAAAGATAGGTTAAGGCTACAATATGACCTAGACAAACTGAAGGAATGGTCCAACAAATGGCTACTAAAGTTCAACTCAAGTAAATGTAAGGTAATGAAACTAGGCGGAAGAAATAGGAGGCCAGACACTGGATACAGAATGGGAGATGAAGTACTTAATGAAACGGACAGAGAGAAAGATCTAGGAGTTGATATCACGCCAAACCTCTCTCCTGAAGCCCACATCAAAAGAATAACATCAGCGGCCTATGCGAGGCTGGCTAACATCAGAACAGTCTTCAGAAACCTGTGTAAGGAATCCTTCAGAACCTTCTATACCACATATGTACGGCCAATCCTGGAGTATGCGGCCCCAGCATGGAGCCCGTACCTTGTCAAGCACAAGACAAAGCTAGAAAACGTTCAGAGATTTGCCACTGAATATTCAGAGACATGATTACCACATACAAAATTCTCAGGGGAATTGACAGGGTAGACAAGGATAAACTATTCAACACTGGTGGTACACGAACAAGGGGACACATGTGGAAACTGAGTACCCACATGAGCCACAGAGACATTAGAAAGAACTTTTTCAGTGTCAGAGTAGTTAGTAAATGGAATGCATTAGGCAGTGATGTGGTGGAGGCTGACTCCATACACGGTTTCCAGTGTAGATATGATAGAGCCCAATAGGCTCAGGAATCTGTACACCAGTTGATTGACAGTTGAGAGGCGGGACCGAAGAGCCAGAGCTCAATCCCCACAAGCACAATTAGGTGAGTATACACACACACACACACACACACACACACACACACACACACACACACACACACACACACACACACACACGCGCGCGCGCGCGCGCGAAACTAAATGGAAGCGACCACATTGGTCAGTCTTGAACCATTACCAAGTCCCGGACGGCCAAAACATTCATCAATTTCATTTAGTTTCCTAGGTGTGTGTGCTATGTTATTTGGTTCAGTTGCGTCATAGTGACTTAACACTCATGTGGTAACATGTGAGGCGGAAACATTACAGTAATATAAGTTAATAAGTTAGAGAGCCTGGCTACCTGAGACGGAAGATGTGTGTGTGTGTGTGTTGATATCAGTTCCTTCATCACTAGGCTCCACGGGGCCAGATTCATGAAGCAGTTACGCAAGCACTTACGAACCTGTACATCTTTTCTCAATCTTTGGCGGCTTTGTTTACAAGTATTCAACAGTTAATGAGCTGCGAAGCTCCAGGAGGCTGTTTATAACAATAACAACAGTTGATTGGTAAGTTTTCATGCTTGTAAACTGTTTAATAAATGTAACCAAAGTCGTCAAAGATTGAGGAAAGATGTACACGTTCGTAAGTACTTGCGTAACTGCTTCGTGAATCAGGCAGGATTTAGCCCGTCCTCTTAACGTTTCAAAACATGAAGAAAACCTTTAATTTAAAGTGTCCTCTCCTAACCTGACAGCTAAGCCAGAGAACCCAAAACAGAAAACGGGACTGTACGTCACTTTCGCGAGCCGCTTCCATTTACTACTACGGCAATTTTTAGCCTTAACGCATAGGAGCGAAAAGCGACGTTCTATGTAAGAGGAAAGGTTGGGGGGGGGGGGGGGGGGGGTACTATTACAGTGATTCCTAATGTAGTTATCTTACTCAAACACTTGTCTGGCGCGCGTTAGTATTCACTGGCGCCTTATAAAGTGATAAGATAGTGTTATGGGGCCAGATTCACGAAAGAACTTACGCAAACACTTACGAACGTGTACATCTTTCCTCAATCTTTGACGGCTTTGGTTACATTTATTAAACAGTTTACAAGCATGAAAACTTGCCAATCAACTGAACTGTTGTTATTGTTATAAACAGCCTCCTGGTGCTTCGCAGCTCATTAACTGTTTAATAATTGTAAACAAAGCCGCCAAAGATTGAGAAAAGATGTACAGGTTCGTAAGTGCTTTCGTGAATCTGGCCCCTGTATTTTAGGTTTTCGTACACCATTTCGTGTACACCTAGAGGTAAACGAAATAATAATAATAATGATATTGGTCAATGTACATTGATCTACCTTGTTGGTTGTGGCAGACGAATACTAATAGATTACAACGGGGATATTGTAGTCTATTAGTATTGTTATCCATCTATTGTCCATTAGTATTGCTATCCATTGTTAATGGAAAATTGCTTGAATGTACCTACTTTATGCATCTATTATTCTACCTAAACTGTACTGTATACACACACCCTGTTCTGACATACTGATTATAAATAAGTACTCAAAATACAACTGTAATACAGAAACTAATAAACAAACTGTATTTGCCAGAAAATACGATGTATTGTAATACCATATAGTCTAGGCTCGGCGTCGAAGCCTATGAGAAAGAACATTTATTGGCGACTTAGGCTGCTCTTTACTAAATAAACGATGAAACACAAATTTTTGTTTGTGCAAACTATCATTAAAAGATAAGATTGCATCTTAAGCCTTGGGGGGCGGGGGGGGGGGGCAGCATCTGATAAGCTGGCAAGTACAGAAATTGTCATATGGCACATATGGCAAGATCTCTGAAGACACTCACACATCCGCACTGTTCCTCGTTGCCATGAAAGAGTGAGACGGTCATCCTCACGATCTCTGCCTCCATCTTCCTCACTCCAGGGAAGACATCAGCGTGGAGAGGGTTGCTGAGGGCAAACTTGCCATACAGGTGCTCCAGCAAGTTGGTATAGACATCGTTACCACCAGAAAATGTTCCTCCAGAGATCTTGCCGTCCCGCCAGTCGTACTTGCCTGAAATGGAAGCCTCATATGATGACAAGTGAAGCATTGCTGGCCAACTCTGTGTTACATGTAGCCTAATGGAAGCCTCATATGATGACAAGTGAAGCATTGCTGGCCAACTCTGTGTTACATGTAGCCTAATGGAAGCCTCATATGATGACAAGTGAAGCATTGCTGGCCAACTCTGTGTTACATGTAGCCTAATGGAAGCCTCATATGATGACAAGTGAAGCATTGCTGGCCAACTCTGTGTTACATGTAGCCTAATGGAAGCCTCATATGATGACAAGTGAAGCATTGCTGGCCAACTCTGTGTTACATGTAGCCTAATGGAAGCCTCATATGATGGCAAGTGAAGCATTGCTGGCCAACTCTGTGTTACATGTAGCCTAATGGAAGCCTCATATGATGGCAAGTGAAGCATTGCTGGCCAACTCTGTGTTACATGTAGCCTAATGGAAGCCTCATATGATGGCAAGTGAAGCATTGCTGGCCAACTCTGTGTTTCATGTAGCCTAATGGAAGCCTCATATGATGACAAGTGAAGCATTGCTGGCCAACTCTGTGTTACATGTAGCCTAATGGAAGCCTCATATGATGACAAGTGAAGCATTGCTGGCCAACTCTGTGTTACATGTAGCCTAATGGAAGCCTCATATGATGACAAGTGAAGCATTGCTGGCCAACTCTGTGTTACATGTAGCCTAATGGAAGCCTCATATAAGTGAAGCATTGCTGGCCAACTCTGTGTTACATGTAGCCTAATGGAAGCCTCATATGATGGCAAGTGAAGCATTGCTGGCCAACTCTGTGTTACATGTAGCCTAATGGAAGCCTCATATGATGGCAAGTGAAGCATTGCTGGCCAACTCCGTATTGATTGTAGCCTACAGGAACCAATCAGGAAGTGACTTGGAATAACTAATTCAGTTATTGGAACAACCAGTCAGTGATAAGAGAAACACACCAGCTAAATATTGACTTAACATAAAGAAACGAGATTTTCAAAATTATGGCAGAAGCTAAGATTTTTTGTTTAAAATTGACTGATAATTTTTCGATTTTTTGGTCAAAATATATCGAATTTTAAACACCCGGCCTCTTGAACATCACTAAACAATAATACTAAATATTCATGCAGTAAAAAAAATATATTTACATCATCAAGTCAATGAGTTTGAAACGGCATTTAAACTTTAGAATACTGCACTTAAAAATACCTCAAAACATTCCTTTATGAAATAGGGAGTTAGTCTTAAGCGGAAGTTCATCAACACCGGAAAATAGGGCATACATAGGTATTCATATTCAACAACCAGGACGATGAATACATGATATCAAACTAACCTTGAGCCAGGTCGTCAGAGGCTGCCTGAAGAACCTGTTCCTTGGACCAACCGGTGGGTGGCAGAACCCTCAGTGGCACGCGGTTCTTGGTTCGTCCACTGTATGCAAACATGCCCTTCTCTAGTTCTGTATACCAACCATGTAGGAGGAATTAGTCATACACATGCTACCTGCCTTATGTGGTTTTGTAACATACCGTCCTCTCTCGTTGTGTCAGTAGCTGTGTGTATTATATCCCAGCCCTGCACCGCATACACCATACACAGTGTATTAATACAATATCTCAACCAGCACCGCATACACCATACACAGTGTATTAATACAACAGTTCAACCAGCACCCCATACACCATACACGAGACAGAGAGAGGTTGAAACTGAACCTCGTAGAGGCAAAACGTCTAAATGAGAGCAGGAACGAAGAAGAAATCAATTCTTTTTTTTCTACAAAGTGATAGGGGTAGGCAGACCAGTAAAGTGGTACACAAATCAATGAAATTGCTAGAGAAAGGGGTAGTGAAGAATAAGGAGAGGGGGAACATGTTCCTGAAGATTGCATACACCAACATAGATGGAGTGAGATCGAAGATACTGGAGTTAAGTGATATAATACAGCTGCAGACACCAGACATTGTTGCACTCACGGAGACAAAACTTGAAGATGCTATTTTAAATGAGGTCATATTCCCAAGGGGCTACTCAATTTGGAGACGGGACAGAAAAATCAGGAAAGGCGGTGGTGTTGCTGTGCTGGTGAAAGAACACCTAAAGGTGAACGAAATAGTGACTGCCAATCCACAAGAAGTTGACATAATAGCACTAGAGATCTGCCATGAGGATGATAAACTAATGATCATAAATGCATATAGTCCACCGTTAAGCAGCACATGGTCAAAGGAGGAGCTAGATAGTAAACGAGAAGGTCTTATAACAATAATGAGAGAGATCATAGCGAGAGCGGATAACGATAGTTCACGACTGTTGATAGTCGGCGACTTCAACTTGAAATCCATAGACTGGGAAGCATGTGAAGAGGACTTATGGCCCTGTAGATTCGTAAACCTCATTCTGGAAACTTTCATGTTTCAACATGTTAAACAAGTTACGAGCATGAGGGAAGGGGACGTTCCCTCTTTGCAGGATTTGATATTTACCAGGAAAGAGGAAGAGATATTTGACATTCAGTACCTTCCTCCCTTGGGTAAAAGTGACCATGTCTTTTTGGGAATAAAGTATGCAATGCATTATAAGCTGGAAGAAAAAAGGAGGTTGAAGCAGTTAAAAAACTTGACTTTAGGAGAGGGCATTATGGGAACCTTAGAAAATATTTTAATGAGTATAACTGGACAGACTTGTTGCTAGGCAAGGAAGTAAATGAGATGTATGTGTAGTTTTTTGAAATATATGATAAAGGCACAAAAAAATTTAAACCAAAGCAGAGATGTAGAACTAGGAAACAGAATGGGTTCAACAGAAATTGCGAGAGGGCCAGAGACCAAAAGACACAAAAATGGAATCAATACAGGAAGAGGCCAAACCCCCAAACATGCCAGCGATACAAAGATGCGAGAAACAACTACATGGCAGTGAGGAGAGAGGTAGAAAGAAATTTTGAAAAAGGGATTGCAGACAAATGTAAAACAGAACCAGGTCTATTCTATAAATTCATAAACAACAAATTGCAGGTAAAGGATAATATTCAGAGGTTGAAAATGGGAGATAGATTCACGGAAGATGAAAAGGAAATGTGTGAAACATTAACCAAAAGTTCCAAAGTGTGTTTGTACAAAATGAAATTTTCTGGAAACAAGACACCATAAGAATTCCAAAGAACAACATAGAGCACATAGAGGTGTCTAGAGACGAAGTGAAACAAATGCTCAAGGAGCTAAGTAAGAACAAAGCAGCTGGCCCAGATGGCGTTTCACCATGGGTTCTGAGAGAATGTGCATCTGAGCTCAGCATTCCACTTCAACTGATTTTTCAGGCATCCCTGTGTACAGGAGTTGTAGCTGATGTGTGGAAACAGGCTAACATAGTTCCAATCTACAAAAGTGGAAGCAGGGAAGACCCCCTTAATTATAGACCGGTATCATTGACAAGTGTAATAGTCAAAATATTGGAAAAAATAATTAAAACTAAATGGGTAGAACACCTAGAGAGAAATGATATAATATCAGACAGACAGTATGGTTTTCGATCTGGAAGATCCTGTGTATCGAATTTACTCAGTTTCTATGATCGAGCAACAGAGATATTACAGGAAAGAGATGGTTGGGTTGACTGCATCTATCTGGACCTAAAAAAGGCTTTCGACAGAGTTCCCCATAAGAGGTTGTTCTGGAAACTGGAAAATATTGGAGGGGTGACATAAGTTTCTAACATGGATGAAAAATTTTCTGATAGAAAAATGAGGGCAGTGATCAGAGGCAATGTATCGGACTGGAGAAATGTCACAAGTGAACCACAGGGTTCAGTTCTTGCACCAGTGATGTTTATTGTGTACATAAATGATCTACCAGTTGGTATACAGAATTATATGAACATGTTTGCTGATGATGCTAAGATAATAGAAAGATAAGAAACCTAGATAATTGTCATGCCCTTCAAGAAGATCTGGACAAAATAAGTATATGGAGCACCACTTGGCAAATGGAATTTAATGTGAATAAATGTCATGTTATGGAATGTGGAGTAGGAGAACATAGACCCCACACAACCTATACATTATGTGAGAAATCTTTAAAGAATTCTGACAAAGAAAGGGATCTAGGGGTGGTTCTAGATAGAAAATTATTACTTGAGGACCACATTAAGAACATTGTGCGAGGAGCCTATGCCACGCTTTCTAACTTCAGAATTGCTTTTAAATGCATGGATGGAGAAATACTAAAGAAATTGTTCACGACTTTTGTTAGGCCAAAGCTAGAATATGGAGCGGTTGTGTGGTGCCCATATCTTAAGAAGCACATCAACAAACTGGAAAAGGTGCAAAGACATGCTACTAAGTGGCTCCCAGAACTGAAGGGCAAGAGCTACGAGGAGAGGTTAGAGGCATTAAATATGCCAAAACTAGAAGACAGAAGAAAAAGAGGTGATATGATCACTACATACAAAATAGTAACAGGAATTGATAAAATCGATAGGGAAGATTTCCTGAGACCTGGAACTTTAAGAACAAGAGGTCATAGATTTAAACTAGCTAAACACAGATGCCGAAGAAATATAAGAAAATTCACTTTCGCAAACAGAGTGGTAGACGGTTGGAACAAGTTAAGTGAGAAGGTGGTGGAGGCCAAGACCGTCAGTAGTTTCAAAGCATTATATGACAGAGAGTGCTGGGAAGACGGGACACCACGAGCGTAGCTCTCATCCTGTAACTACACTTAGGTAATTACACTTAGGTAATTATAATTGCACGGTGTATTAATACAATATGTCAACCAGCACCACATACACCATAAACAATGTATTAATACAATATGTCAACCATCACCACACACACCATACACAATGTATTAATACAATATGTCAACCATCACCACATACACCATACACAATGTATTAATACAATATGTCAACCAGCACCACACACCATAAACAATGTATTAATACAATGTCAACCATCACCACATACACCATAAACAATGTATTAATACAATGTCAACCATCACCACACACACCATAAACAATGTATTAATACAATGTCAACCATCACCACACACACCATAAACAATGTATTAATACAATGTCAACCAGCACCACACACCATAAACAATGCATTAATACAATATGTCAACCATCACCACACACACCATAAACAATGTATTAATACAATATGTCAACCATCACCACATACATCATACACAATGTATTAATACAATATTGAGTTATAAGGCCCATATAGCCTAGCGACTTAGGCTTCCAATGTGAGAATGACGCTTCACTGGATCTTACAGAAGATCAAGGCCAGGGGCCAGATTCACGAAAGCACTTACGAACCTGTACATCTTTTGTCAATCTTTGGCGGCTTTGTTTACAATTATTAAACAGTTAATGAGCTGCGAAGCACCAGGAGGCTGTTTATAACAATAACAACAGTTGATTGGCAAGTTTTCATGCTTGTAAACTGTTTAATAAATGTAACCAAAGCCGTCAAAGATTGAGGAAAGATGTACACGTTCGTAAGTGCTTGCGTAAGTGCTTTCGTGAATCTGGCCCCAGGAGTCTTAGCAAGGTTTGGAGAGTAGACTACCCCTAGATGATATGGAAGAGGCACTGGAGGAGGCATTAGTGTGCCACTGAGTAATAATTAGAGGAGCCAAACAATATGGCGACAATATTTGGGCGTCCTTAAGGATGAAGAAACTTGATGACATCATTGCTAGCCAATGAGGAAGTAGCAGGAGCGTGTGTGATGTTAGTTGTCGGTGTGGGGTACTGGGGTACCGGTGTGGGGTACTGGGGTACCAGTGTGGGGTACTGGGGTACCAGTGTGGGGTACTGGGGTACCAGTGTGGGGTACTGGGGGTACAGTACCAGCAGCAGGTACCGTGTAGTCCTCACCTCTGCGTGACGCATCAAGCACCTCAGATATTCGTCGCTGGACAGCTGGAATGGAGCGGAGCATCCTGAAGGCTCGCTTCCTCATGCCCTCCCACACATCTGCAAGTGGGAAAAGCTGTTATGGTATATAATGTGGCTTGGTACCGTATATATGGCTTGGTACCGTACATAATATGACTTGGTACCGTATATAATATGGCTTGGTACCGTATATAATATGGCTTGGTACCGTATATAATATGGCTTGGTACCGTATATAATAGGCTTGGTACCGTATATAATATGGCCTGGTACCGTATATAATATGGCCTGGTACCGTATATAATATGGCTTGGTACCGTATATAATAGGCTTGGTACCGTATATAATATTTCTTGGTACCGTATATAATAGGCTTGGTACCGTATATAATATGGCTTGGTACCGTATATAATATGGCTTGGTACCGTATATAATATGGCTTGGTACCGTATATAATATGGCTTGGTACCGTATATAATATGGCTTGGTACCGTATATAATATGGCTTGTACCGTATATAATATGGCTTGGTACCGTATATAATATGGCTTGGTACCGTATATAATATGGCTTGGTACCGTATGTGAATGTTGGGCAGAGGAAGTGAGTTAAGGCTTATCATGTTGCCTCAAGCCTCGGGGTGAGGGTGGTCACATGGTCGCCAAACTGGTGCTGGATGAGGCTTGACTGAGTGACACAAACAGCATCTACTCTACACAACCCTCTCTTAAGTGGTTCAGTAATGTGTAACCCATTGATGTGTGTCTAGATCAAACATTTTCCAGCAGTTAGTATCGTAATGTCTAAAGGTTTGGGGCTTTCTCACTCGTTCTGATGGACTGTGTAAGAAATCTAATGGGAAAAGGAGGCTTCTTACATCTTGAAGGAAGCGTGTACGGGAAGTAATATTCTAGTCGTTTCGGAATATACAGGTGGAAGGGACAGGGAAGGTGACTAGGGATCTCTCTCTAGACCTACATAACCAAATGGAACGTTCCCCAATTCGCCACAGACCCGAACCTGGCGACCGGAGCAAAGGTGGTCATGGGGAAAGCTGGACAGGAAACAGATTCAGACCCGAAAGGTCGAGAATGTACTGTAGGTCCAGCAAGTCCCGCTTGGGGACCAGAAACAACTGGAACACCCACTGCAGAGCACCAGTTAGCTCGTCTCTCTCCAGCATTCAACAACTCCACCATCACCAAGAGAAGTTCTGGACCACCTCCAGAGTAGGTCCCAGGACGCTATCTGGAAGTACAAAGCATTATGGGGCCAAGAGTTGGCAAAATGGGCCAAACGTCTTCCCACAGCAATGTCAAAGGAGCGAGCGCAAAAAATCCCAAGCCAAAACACCCTTCCGTGAGGCGACGCCAAACAGGAGGAGGCTACCTGAACCGACACCAGCCCGGGACCTGCAAAATACCCTTCCTCCAAGAACCAGGGAAGAACTCCACTGCTAAAACAGACGACTGAGCGGCTGTACCGCCATTGCTGCAGCGGAAACTGAAACTGAATTTTAACACTACTGTGTTAAAATTTAACGCAAAAAATTGTATATCGTCTGTTTAATCTCTTCTTCACTTTAAAATTACTTATGTATTTTTTTCCAACCACTTGGCCTGGACGGTAGATCAACGGTCTCGCTTCCTGCAGGTCGGCGTTCAATCCCCGACCATCAAGTGGTTGGGCACCATTCCTTTCCCCGTCCCATCCCAAATCCTTATCCTGACCCCTTCCAAGCTCTATACCAGGGGTCTCCAAACTTGTCAATGTAAGCGCCACATTATATATATCCCATATTTATGCGGGCCGGAGGAATAAAAAATGAAAAAAAAACAAAAAAAAAATCAGTGCCAGTAATTTAATTTCCTCAAATATTAAAGTATAAACATGGAAAAATTAAAACATATCTTTTTGGGAAAAATCAGGGTAAACTAAATAGATTTCTGCCTTTAGTTTTATGCAACCAAATTAGTGTGACGAATGATACTGTCGTTTTGACTTCAAAATTTCATTAAAATCAGGTTCCAGATTAGATGAGCCAATTGTAAGAATTGATTTCAAGTGATCATCAGACAAATTTGCTCGATAGTTAGATTTCACATACTTCATTTTGGAAAAAGTTTGTTCACACAAGTATGTTGAACCAAAAATGGACACAAAACTACAAGCAAACTTTATCAAATTTGGAAACTGATCTGGCTGCAGGCATTTATAAAACTTAATCAGATTTCCTTCTCTATACTTATCTTTCAGTCTGTCATCTGCCTGGAGATCAATAATTTCCATTTGAAATTGAGTTGGAAGATTTTCAGCATTGCAGTCAAATGGATTATGAAAGAGCCTGATTTCATTTGCTTTGGCATCAAGGTCAGCAAATCGCTTCTGAAACTGTTTTTTTCAAATCTGAAATTATTTCATTTGCAAATGAAAAAGGAAATTCAACTTTACTTTCTGCATGAAATTTTTCACAACATGGAAAATGAGCAAAATTCTTAACCTTCACCTGGCCTTCAAGTAGCGCAAGTTTTGCTCTGAATGCCTTGACATGAACAAAGTAGTCACTGATCAAATTTGTTTTGCCTTGCAATTTCAGGTTCAAGTTATTCATATGACCTGTCATATTCATATGACCTGTCATATTCATATGACCTGTCATATGACCTGTCATATTCATATGACCTGTCATACCTGTCTATTCATATGACCTGTCATATTCATATGACCTGTCATATCTGCAAAAAATGCCAATTTCCAAATCCATTCACATTCTGATAATAATGGCTGAGGTTTATTTTTCTCTGAGAAATAAATCAATTTCTAATCTGAGCTCAAAGAAATGCAGCAAAACCTTTCCACAACTAAGCCATCTAACTGCTGTATAATAAGGCAAGTTAACAAACTCCGCATCAATTTCTTTCAAGAAATCACGGAACTGGCGATGGTTGAGTGCATGAGATCTAATGAAATTAACCACAGAAACAACAGGTTTCATGACACAAGACATATTAACATATTTTAGGCACAATGCTTGTTGATGGATAAGGCAATGCAGAAAAATGGGTTTCGAGAATCCTCCAACCTCACAAGCTGTTGTAATTTGCCCAACCAAACCCTTCTTTGTCCCAGACATATTCTTTCCTCCATCAATTGTCACACACTGCACTTGTTTCCATTCCAGCTTATATTCTGTCATAGTTTTACTTACTTCATTGAAAATGTCCTCTCCAGTTGTTGTGGTGTGCATGCTGTGAACTGATGCTAATTCTTGGCTCACATTAAATTCACTATCAACACCACGAATGAATACTAAGAGCTGAGAAGTATCACACACATCAGTTGATTCATCCAACGCAAGAGAATACCAACAAAATCTTTTTGTTTTTTCCTTTATTTGCCGAATTATGTCGCCTCCTAAATCTTCAATTCTACGAGCAACAGTATTTGACCCAAGACTTATCATTTTGAAGAGGTTTACTTTTTCTGGACATACCTCTCCTGCTGCTTCCACTATACACTCTTTTATGATACTACCATCAGTGAAAGGCTTTCCTTTTTTAGCCAACACATAGGCAACTTTGTAACTGGCTCTAGTTGAATTTTCATTTTCAGATTTTTTCTTACTGAAAACAGCTTGTTGAGAATGCAGACTGTGCTGAAATGATTCAAACTTTTTAGTGCGTTCTGCTCCTGTGATGTGAGAATAACTTGAGCCATGTTTAGATTCATAGTACCGACGAATATTGTATTCCTTCAGAACAGCAACACTGTCTCTACATATTATGCATAAAGCTTTATCATTTGCTATCAGAAAAAAGTACTTTATCTTCCATTCGTCATTGAACCGACGGCACTCACTGTCCACTTTTCTTTTCTTTATCTTTTCCATATCTGAAAACATAAGGGTAAAATAAATGAAATAAATTCTACAGGAAAAAAACAGCTTGTATGTGGTGTTAAAAAGCATAGCATATTATTATAAAGTGGTAAATATTATGGCAACAGCTTTCGTTGATAAACTTAATGGTTACCATTTTAACTATTTTAAACATGCAATATTTTTGGCTACAATAGTATTATTGCTATTTTGTATAACTAAGATAAAGGCATTGTCAAAGTACAGAGAAAAGAATATTGTACAGTGTTTGTGCTCCCTGAAACGGAAGCAGCGAAGCCCCACTCGCCCTCCATCCCCACAATATACAGTTATACACAACTGATTGGTTGTAATGCACAACACATACCTACCAGTATTAGTATCTGTGCGTCACACTATCGAGAGAGAGAGGAAAACTGACTCGGGTTGAGCGCCACCAGTCAGCAGCCCCAGCTTTGAATAATTCTGCGATGCCATTCGTACGATAATTATTTTTTCAAGGCCACCACACAGGGATTTGTTTGGAGGGCCGGATGAAATTATGTGGCGGGCCATAGTTTGGAGACCCCTGCTCTATATAGTCGTAATGGCTTGGCATTTTCTCCTTATATTTCCAATTTACCTGGAACCTGAACCTAGCTGACACGCGTGAAGATTGGTGTCAAATAGCAGACCTCTCTGGCCTCAATAGTCATTTATACCCGCCTAAGAGGATCACAGATGGCATAAACATTATGCCTTAGTTAATAAGGAACGTGTGTTTAAGGTGATTCTGAGGTGTATTTGGTTGAAAAGTTGGGAAGTGGGGCGATTTGCAAAACAAGATAAGGGAACGCACTCGACACACGCCTTGAGGTGGCATAACGAGACAGGCTAGTGGATAATAGCCTAGGTGTTCAGCCAATCAACGGTAATCTTTCTGTGACGTCATCAGCGGGCGTCGTGCCGAGCTCAGGGATTGGAACACAGCACACTGACCTTCCTGACTCGGTATGAGATGGATTTGATGCCGAAAGTCCTGTGAAAATCGGCCTGATTAGCGAATCGCGTGACGAGCTGAGCCTGAAGGCCCGGCAACCTGTCCTCTTAAAAATAACGTCGATTTTAGCTGTTTGCCCGTATGGCCGAATTTGGACGTAATTTGAAAATGAAAAAAAAAAATTAAAATAAATTTTGGATTTTTTTTTTTCAACAACAGTAA